GAATTGTGCGTGTGTGTGTGTGTGGCATTTTTGGTTTTCAGGGGTTTTTTGGGTTTAGGTTTTTGGTTGCTTGTTTTTTGTTGTGGGTTTTTTTTTTTTGGTGGGGGGGGGTTTTTTTTTTTTTAGAACACTTCTAGTGACCTCTTAAGGTACATGAGCTTGAGGACAGAAAGGTAAACCTGAGAGTGCTGCGTGTGAATATGCAGCAAAGTTTCTTGCTTGTCTTGAACTGTGATTTTTATTTTTCCTTTGTATAAAAGACATGCATAAAATCCTTCCCCAAATACACACCCTAGGAAGCACTAACTCCTCACCATTTACCATCAAACCAATTTTCCTGTGGTGAAAACTCCTAGCTTTCACAACTTTGCAGCCAGATGAAGAGTAAGAAGCCTGAAGACTCTGCCCCTGTGCTGAGCTGTGTGCTGGGCTCTGGTGCAGCAGATTTACCAGCCTGGCTGTGGAAGCTGGACATGTCCTGCAAGCTCAGGGGACATCAGCTCAGCTGCAGCACTAAATGGCACAAGGTTGGCTTGTGCAAAGACAGCTTGGGCATGTGTCAGGTGTACCTTCTATTGCACAGCCAGTAGGGTACAGGTAATGCTCAGAAATAGTGAGAGGAAGATAAAAACAGTGGGGGAAATAGAAGAGGGAGAGGATTTGTACATTGGCTAAATAGGGCTTTGGAAGGAGAAGTTGGGATCAGATAAGGAATCAGATGCATTGAGCACTGGTGGGGGGAATAGTGGAAGCAGGATTTTGCAAAGGGCAGCCTGAGGTATGACCCCCATTGCACCAGGTACATCAGGCCCATCTCATCTACCAAGAGATATGAACCCAGTACCTATTTTCAGTTTTGGAAGTAAAATAGAATAGACATAGTCGGTGTCTGTGAGGATCAAAAGTGCATCTGGAAAGGGAAATGTTATATTTAAATCTAAACAATTTGTGTTTGTTATCTTTGCAAAATAAACATTCTCATGCATTTGACTTTTTCCCCTGCTTCCAAAGCACGCTGCATTTTTGATAAAGGACACGACAAGATCTTCCACCAGTTGTTTGTGTGCAAAGCAACTAGCAGAAGGAACTCCTGGCTGAGGGTGTCCTCTCACATACTGTTGAGTAATGCAAATTATAGTGGTTCCAGAGTGCCTCCCCTCCTCCTCTGCCTTTTCCATGGCAACCTCAAATAAGGATGGAGAAGAATGTGTAGGAAAAGGAAGAGGAAGGGATGCCCCAAAATCAAACTAAATATTTATGGAATGGGTGAGTGTGTGCACTGGGGAGGTTCATATCTATCTCTAGATAACAAGGATGTGTTGGCATGTATGTTTTCTAACTCTGGCTGTGGCACACAGTGCTTAAGCCTGTGAGACACATGAGGTCTCCTGTCCTGTGCAGTGATTTGATATTACCCTCCCTCAAGATACCTGTGATGTTTGAGTTTTTCTGTTTTATCTGCTCTCAGCATGTCATTTTATTGAGCTATTTCAGCTTTCTTTCCCTTCCAGTGTTTGCCACAAGCATAGGGACTGTACATGCTTACAGCCTGACAGTCCTGACCACTGACTGCTTTGTCCTTGTGTTCGTGAAGCAGTAAATCAGCCGCTGCAGTAAATCAGTGATAAATAGAAATGTTGCCTGGGATTCCCCTTCTTTAAATAACCCAGTCTCCTTTTGCACAGAAAATGCCAAGAACTGGACTCTTAATATGGGGCAGATAAAGCCAAAAGTTGCCAAGGATTCCTCTCACTGCCTTGACAGCAGTGTTCTCCTCCAGGGCATATGTATGAGTTTGCTGATGAGTTTTTCAAGTACCCTCTGCAGCTCTTTCTGGGTCAAAGATACAGCTGGGCAGAAAGGTGAGTTAGTTGTTCACAGCCTACTCAACCTTTGGTTCTTCTGAAGGTGCTGGTAAAAGGCTGTTTTATCTCTCTTTTAGGTCACCTCAGCATAAGCAGAGCTGGTCATAGAGCCTGTGGTGCCTGTTACCTCTGGTTGTGCTGCACAACCCCAGAGCAAGGGCAGGAACAGGCCTTCCCCCAAGCTGCCATGGTTGGATACCCCCCACTGCAAGGCTGTGCTGGCATTCAAAGAATGGGATGAGCTTGGGTCCAGCCCTGGCTGGTGATGGACAGCCAGCCAGCAGCGCCTGGCTGATGCAAAGGGACATATCACTGTCAGGGACTTCTGTGTTTGCTTTCCATCTGGCACGTGCAGCCATGCTTGGGGAGCACAGCACATGTGTCCCCTGTAGATGGGCTGCTGCTGCACAGGAGATCACCCTCAGAGTACCAGGGCAAAATGTTTAAGGCTTACAGATGCTCACTTTGCCCCAGTGTTTATCCTCCAGCAGCCCTTTTGGAGCTCCTTCCAGGGAGAGGAGGTTGGGGCCAGGCGGAGCATGTGATGTGAGGAAAGCAGATGTAAAAACTCAGTTCTGTGTGAATCAGAAGTTGGCATGAGCACACAGCCTTGCCCATCTGCTCGTTTGTGTCGTGTGCTATCCTAGTGCAGCCCCAGAGCCAAGCCTGCTCTCTGCCCTGTGGATTTGTCCTGCTGTTCTCCTCAGTTCCAGCAGTGTGCGTGTCTCTGCAAGGACTTGGGCAGTGGCTTTCCTGTCCTACTAACTGGGAGACAGGATCAGCCCCCTTACCCAGGCAATGCTGGTGTGAATGCTGTGATGTTCCTCCACTTTTTGTCTCTGTGCGTTCACATTATGGTCAGCTCTGCCAGGACTAACAGACTACTCCACTCTCCAATGCGTTAGCAAGTGCTGGGACTCCATGGAGCACATGGGACCTCCCCTGCCCTCAGGGATGCAGGAATCCTTGCATGGAGGCTCAGACATGGTGCATATACTCCCAGGGTGCAGGAGGGGGTTGCCTGTGGGTGTATCCTCCTGGCCCAAGAGCTGCAGAAGAAACTTGCAGAAATATTTGTGTCAATTTCCTTTTTCTTTCTTTCTTTCTTTTCTTTTTTTTTTTTTTTTTGAGTTGTCTTGTTCCTCTCTCCTGATTTACTGCATATGCTCACGTGGCCTTGGAAAGGGGGGTTCTCAAACTGTTTTGCTTCCAAAAGGAAAAGAAGCTGGCAGCCGTTCATATTTCAGTTCTCGAGTTATGTAGGTTAAAGTCTCCCAGTGGGAAAACGGAAGGTATGAGAGAGCAGATTGCTGGTGGCGATACTCACTAGAAGGAAAACAGAAAAAAGGAGCATGTAATTATCGAGCTACATCCAGGCGAACGTGAGGTTCGAGAGGTATGTTTTCTATCTGCTGTTAGAACATAATTTCCATTTATTTGATTCAATTTGTGATAAAATGCCTCACTGTCTTAAGTAGTAGTAAGAATGACTAGTTTAGGAGCAGATTCTAAGCCACCAGTTGTTCATGTGTAGAATGGGGAGCATGTTTGTCAATGAAACTTTGTTTTCAGTAATGTAGCTAAAATGAATTATGATATAGAGAAAGTCAGGAGAAAGTCAAATATGTAATGCTTCGTGACTAGTTGTGAGATTTCAGCTCAACATAACAGTTAAGGCTGAAACAGGGCTCCAGACCCTCTCCTGAATCTTTGTTGGCCCCAAACGAAAAGCTTTACTCTGGTTGAAGACCTGTTTGATTACAGAACGTGGGCTTGTGATCCAGTATTTATGACTTTAAATACTGGCACTCTGCAGAAATATGCATTAATATTCTCCTATTGAATTTTGATTGTTGAGACAATATAATCAAGATTCTTTTTTGTCAGTATGTTCAGAGTAGCATATTGCATATTTTCCATTGAGCAAATGATAAGCTACGGTACACTAAACTGTTAATACAGAAAAATAAGTTTGAAATGATCAGTTGCCTTCTGTTAAATGAGAGATTATTACCCAACTGTGCTGTCATGTCTTGGTCAAAATTTCTGTAGTTTTTAGGGTCCCTGGAAAATTCTTAAATGCCTGACTAGTTCCATAAAGACTTAATTAAAAAGGAGTTATCTCTTTTTATTATGTAAGTTAAAATATTTGGGTATGATACCTTCTTTTTTGACTATAAAGCCTTTAAGTTTGAAAAATGCCCTGCTTAGAGTGCAGACATGAGCTGTTGAACTGGAACAAAGACAGATCTGTCAATTCTCCTAACTCTCCTGCTTTAGCCGTTTTGTAGCTACATTTTCTCCTATTGAAACCCAGTCCTAAATGAATGGCAAATACTGCTGTTAAATCCAGTGCCTGCAAGGACTGAGTACTTGACTGACTATTGCTTGTATCTACATTGAAAATATTTCTTTTACTCTTCTGATTAAAAGCCATCATGAGGGCAGGAGATGCAGATTTGCTTTGAGAAGGACTCTGACAGTAAATGACATTTTGAAAAGACCTTTCAGTGTCTTTGTATCCAGCCCTGTGAATTAAAAAATAGTCAAAGCTTGCTTTCCTAATAGCCCCGTTAAAAGGCTGCTTTCATGCCTGTGAAGTCCCAGGAGACCCTTGGGTGTGAAGTACCTGATCCCCGCTAGTGAGTGCTGCCTTTCTATTATTTTTACTGCTCAGAGGGCTGGAAATACTATGAGAAAGCTGAGAAAAGGATCATGAAGAGCTTCAGTATTGCCTTTGGTCACAGAAGTTCCCAAAGAATCTCCAGCTTCTGAGTCAATAATCTTTGTTCTACTGTCCACAGAAAGCACCGTCTGTAATCACAGACAAAACCCAGCTGCTCACTTCTCTGCCAGGCTAATTACGAAGTGTTGTGACCTCCCCAGGGCTAATTGTGTCTTGTCAGTGGGGCTGAGGAAAGGAGTCCAGCAGGGTTGCCTGGTATTGTAGCACTCAACTTAGTGACATAATTTTAGGTGGTTTTTATTTTATTGTGACTGTGTGATTCCAGAGCTAAGGTGGCTGCAGAGTGTATGTCTAACACAGAGTTTCTGATCTGCAGGTGAGCGATGTGGAAGGAAAGTGCAGCTAGCACATGAATTTTCTGTAGAACCTCCCTTTCCACCAGCACCAACATGCAGAGCAACTACTCCCTGGTTGTCACCACCAGAGAAACTCTCCATGTCCTCTATACAGCACTGACAAACTCATCGGCTGCATCGCGCTCGCCCGCTCCCTGCCCACTTACTTCTTCAGATTACCAGTTTTCACTAATTCCAGCACTCTTCTCTGTGATTTTTGTTCTGGGGTTGGTTGGCAACAGTGTGGTGGTTGTGGTGCTTTGTCGTCACAGTGGCCCCAAAACAGTCGCTAATATCTACATTTTCAACCTGGCCATGGCGGATTTGCTGTGCCTTGTCACCCTTCCCTTCTGGGCTGCCTACTACGCGCAGGGGTACAACTGGCTTTTTGGGTCTTTCATGTGCAAAATCTCCAGTTCTGTCCTGTGCTTGAACATGTTTGCAAGTATATTTTTCATTACGTGCATGAGCGTGGACAGATACCACGCTATTGTCCATCCTATTCACTCTCAAAGAAGGACTTCACAACAAGCTTATTTTATAGCTTTGGTTTTGTGGGGTCTTGCCTGTTTGTCCTCCCTCCCAACTTTTTATTTCCGTGACACTCACTACATTGAAAGCCTGGGGGTGAGTGCCTGCATTATGGCCTTTCCTCATGAGAGTTATGCAAAATGGTCTGTGGCAACAGCCTTCCTGAAAAACGCACTCGGCTTCTTCATCCCCTTGACAGTGATCACCACGTGCTACATCTGGATCAGGAGGCACTTGCTCAAAGCACAGGAGTTTGGGAAAAACAAGCAGAAGAGGGATAAAGTCCTAAAGCTGGTGGCTGCTGTTGTTGTGGCCTTCTTAATATCCTGGCTCCCATTCCACATTTTAACATTTTTGGATGCCTTGGCTCACATGAACATCATCGACAACTGTGACGTGACAGGGATCATCGACACAGCGCTGCCGTTCAGCATCTGCATGGCATTTGCCAACAGCTGCATCAACCCTTTGCTGTACTGCTTTATTGGGAACCAGTTCCAGGAGAAGCTCCATCGCTTGTTTAAGCGTCGAGTTTATCAGTTCAACAGCCATCGAGAGAGCTCTTCTTTGAGGAAAGGAAGCTGCTTCAGAGATACTGAGACCCCCTTGGGCAGGGATGGGGGACCTGAGTCCTTGCTGTAGGCACTGGGGCATGTTGTGGGGGATGTCGGTTCAGCTGGCTGTCTCTGCAGTGGTGACACTCCTCTCTCCTGTTCCCTTCCTTTTATGCCCATTCATTCGCCAGTTGTTTGAAGGAGAAACTGTTTTTCTCATACCTGAGGATTTATTCTTCTTTCCTGTCCTCAATGAGTACTCAAGTTTTACACAGCAGGAAGATTCTGGCAAATAAATATCTTAATGGCATTTTAAATATCAGCTTTTGTGCGGCTGAGATCAGGCAAGAGTTTAGTGTAACACAAAATATACCAAAAGACCATTGCACAATAGATACAACTGTGCAGGTACTGAGTATTATACCCTAAGAGACTCTCACAAGAGTGTGTAAATAAAGCAGTGCAGATACTTCTGTACTTATCTGTAAGAAAATATTTTGACCTTTATTTTTATATATATATATATATGTAAATATATATATATTTTTTTAATATATGCCTAGAGATGTTGTAAGTAAAATGCATCAAATATACATACTGCTTGCTTAGGCCTGGGATCCTGAGAACAGGTGGAGACACGGTTCTGCAAACTGCTGGAGGCAGAAGAGTACTCTGGGGGAAAAGTACCACCACGTGCATGTTTTTGTACCTTTCTCATAGCAGGTAATAGATTTGCAGTCCAGATGGTCCTTTGCTTTGATTCAGTGTGGTCATCTTTGACAGCAGGAAGTGAACATACTATATCCCACTGCTATGTGGTCATGCTGAGTCTCATGCACTGTCCAGCAGCCTTCAGGGAGAGGACTTGCTGATTGCCTAGACTTTTTGAATTTTAAATGGTGATTACTACTATAATTCTGGGGTACTGTGTACAGAAAGCCTAAGTGACTGTCTTGACATCCATAAGCAAAATTATGGTGTGACTCCTAAGACTTACCCACACCTCAGTGTAGGAGTTTACTCATTTGTAAATAAAAGAAAGAGGGGGAAAAATAGTATTTGGCAAATACTGATTCTATTTTGAGGTTACTTTTGATGATTGTTTGAAATATTCTTTTGCTGGAGTGATACTGGTCCTTTTGGAGCCTTCAGAAAGGATTATGTTTGATAGGCTCAATCTAACAGAGGGATCTGTTAGTACCTTGCTCAATCGCCAGCAGATTGTCCCCAGGCTGGGTGACCCAGGGTGACCGAAAGATAGTTGGCTTCAGGGAATTCTCTCTGACAAATTACTCTTGAGGCTTGGGTTAGCAGTTTTGGGTCTATAGGGTCAGAAATTATACCTGCCGGCTTTGTAACCAGGAGTCAGACCTCCCTGGAAGTCACAGCATTGGCTGGTGCCTGGAAGCTGTGGGAACCTGATGCAGGAGCCATCCTCCAGTGTTAGGGTGGGGGTAAGTTTTGTCACTGGTGCCCATGAAAATGGGATTATGCAAGAAATGTCCCAGACCTGGAGTGATGTGAAATGAAAAGTTTGTGCAGAACTTGGCAAAATGGAATCTTGACCACAAATAACCTCTTCTCCCTGTCCTCATCTGGTGTTCTGTAGTGGGGTATGTAGTTGGAGAGATGCTTATTCCAGAAAGTGGCAGAGCCACTAATATGTCTCCTCTGGAATGTTTTTGTTGAAAATGTTCTGAGGAGCTAATAGTGTCTGGGGCATTGGATATTTCTGGAAGGACAAACTGTTAATTGCTTAGCAATGAGCACAACAACGCGGTCATGCTACAGCAAAACAAATCATCATACGAAGAAAATTACCAGGTCCTCAAAGTGGCAGGCTCAGAGGAGTAAGAAGAGCTTGTGTTGGCTTTTTACCTTTGCTGCAGTACAGGTTAGTAATGAACACAACTGTGCCATTAATTGGCATTTTTGTAGTCTCAAAACAAAAGCTAAACCACACTGTCTGACCCCGCTGGTACCTGTGCTTCAGCTGTACCCATCCCAAGTGTAAGCACAGACTGCACGTTTTCTACACGTCAGTTTGGACCTGACAAAAAACTCCCAGTTTTAACAAGTATCATGTCTTCTCCCTGGAGTGCAGACCTGTGCAGGTCAGGAAAATACTACAGGAATCTGAAATCCAGCTCCAGTTGCATATACACCTGTGAGAGGCTAGAGAACAAGAGGACAAAGCTTTCCTGAGGAGAGAGCAGTGATGGAGCATCTCGAGGGCAGGAATTAATGACTGTGTGTCCAGGCTGAGGCAGCTGCACTCAGTGTTACTGTCCTAGAAACAGGGAAACAAAAAAAGAGTATTAAATGGGAGGCAAAACTGAGAGGGAAGGAAAATTCCTTCTTTCAAAATGCAGTTTCGAAAGAAGTGTACCCTGAAGGTCATATTCTGCAAGAGGGACAAACCAAGTGACCCTGTGAGTTCAGCAGTGTGACATTTCTATTTGCTAGATCTTCCTTGTACCTCTAACAGGTCATGAATTTGAGTATCGTGGTTAAATAAACATCCAAAAAACTCTGTCTGGAGAGGAACCTGAGATGGAAGTGGGGGAGGTGCTGTATCGAGGGTTTTGCTTTATTTTTAGAGCAAATTGAATAACGTTGAGCTCTGTGAATTTCTTCCATCACACTCAAGTTTCTCATGGGATTTTTAACAGAAAATATGAGGGCTTTTTCACAGTTTCAGCATGTTGCGTTTATTTTTTCAGGATTTTCCACAAAAGAAAGCAGACAAAAATTTAAGTAGGTTTTTTTCCTTGCAAATTTAGAAGCTAATTTTTCTTTTCAAGAGAACACTTTGCTCATATTTGCAAATGATTCTAACAGTTGTGCAATGCTACAGCCTCTCTCTGTCAGACCCCAATGACCACCCCACTCCTTTGCACGCCCTGTGTTCCCTTGGGCACTCCTGGAAAATGCAGACAGCCCGTTGAAGGCAGGAGCCCTGGGAGCCCCACTCAGGCCAGCCTTGCCATCCCTGCTCTTGCCCTGAGCTTGTGTCCTAGAGAGATTCACACAATTTCAGCAGGGACTTTGGGAGTGTGGGTGGTTGCTCAGTGTCTTGCTCACTCTGCAAGTACAGTGAGATGAATTTATGAGCAACAGTAGGATTTTGGTTGGGGCTGCACCAAACCTGCCCTGCCATGGTGCAGTCAACATCAGTAGGGAGAAAAGCCTGCTATGGAAGGAGTATGTTGTGATCTACCATGTGCTGATGGGTTTGTGGTCAAAGCTGAGAGTGGTAGCAAGATTTCTTTGGACAGGAGAACATCCTGGAGCACTTCTGGGCCTCTCAGTGAGTCTTTTTCCCAAAGAGATATAGAAGGGATGGTTTCCTACAAGGATCAGTCGGCTCTGTCATATTTGCACAGCAAATCCTGTTTGTGCCTTCCTTTTCTAGCTGTAGTTTATTAGTCTCAGCTTAAATGTATTACAGAAAAAGTCTCAGTCCAAGCACCCTGTGTGTGTCCCAGAGCTGACTTGAATATGCAACTTCAATATATGAAGCAGAGAAAGTCACTGGCATTTATTAGCATGAGCTAGTGCTGGGTGGTGAGCTGAATGCTTTGTTTATATAAGATATACAATAAGAAATGTTTGGTACAGCATGTTCTCCTTGAGAATTCAACACAGGCTGAGCCTGTGCTGGCATCCACTCAGCACACTGGTCCTGTTCCTCAGGACAGATTTTGGGCAGGAATATCATCTTGTCACCCTGCAGCCAACAGCCACAACTCGGCTGTCCTTCACAACACAGCCCCTTGTCCTGGCTGAAGGGTGAGGAGGTGTCATGGAGCAAGTGAACTGCTCATGTTTCCCCATGAAAATTAGGACTTTTAGATACTGTATTTGAGTGGTCCTGGCAGGAGCACAGGAAACCTGAAGTGTAGGGATTGAGGTGGTCTGGCAGCCTTTCCTCCATGCTGGCAGACTTGCTGCTCTCGTCTCAAATCTCCTTCCCTTGGAGGAAAATGCCTTCTGTTGGGAAGGGCTGCTCCATTCAGCAATGTCCTGGGATGTGCCTTCCTCAGGTCTGCCTGCTGCGGGATCCAGCTGGGTGCAACAGAGAGAGGCTTGTTGCTCTGGCCCACAGGCTCTTCTGGGAAGGGTTTGTGAGTCTCCTATGGCTTTGTCTTACCAGATTCTTGTCTGCAGAAGGAGCCCAGGGCTGCTGTCTTCCACATCACATATCGCCTTGCTGTTTGGCTGAGCATCCAATGAGGTACCTGGCTTAAAGCCAACACTCCCCTCTGTTTGCTAGGATTCGCTAGAATCAAAAGGGGAAAGAGGAAAAAAAAAGGGGGGGAGTAAAAATTGGGATTTGTTTATGGCAAACAGCAGGTTTGTGTGCATGTGTTTAAAGGGAAGTGATGCCTAACCCTGTGGGACACCCAGCAGACAGCAGCAAGCCTGTGTGCACTCACCTCACCTAAGAAGGTGTTTGCAGACCTTCTCCCACACCAGCATTTCCACATCTGTCATCACCACTTTCAGTATTGCAGTATTACAGTGCCCTCAGCTTCACCACCACTGGGAAGCTGGGCTGTGGGGTGCTGGGCCCATGTTTCAATGGGACCACACCTGCTGCTGTGGACAGTAAGGATGGGAACCAGAGGGGCTTATGCCTCTTCTGCATGGGAAGCCCAAAAGCACCTCCCCAAAGCACTCCTGTCCTTGATAACCTACAGGACATCCATCCATCCCTCCATCCATGCCTCTCTCCCTTTCTGTGCCCAAGTTGGAATCCTACCGGCTTCAAATGTCAGCCCTTACATCTGTCAAAGACTGTAGATGGTGGTGTAACTCCTTCAGCTTCCAAAAACAGCTTTTTTGGCTTTACTGTCTGTCTGCTACTGGGAGCAATGTGGAGCAAGAAGCCAGCAGGAGATTGCACAGGCCTGTCTAAAATGTTTCTGGACCTTGGTCTTGGAGTGGAGAGCCCTGGGACAGGGAGCAATTCAGCCTTTCATTGCATCTTTCAAATGTTTATGTTCCACTTCCTCTTCAGCTGAGATAGAATCTGATTTTGACACTGCAAGCTCGGGATAGAACTCTGTTAATCCCCAAAACATTTAATGGGGACAAAGTAGAGTAATGTGGAAGTGGATGAGGGTCGTGACATTAATTTCCCTGCCATG